CACGAGCATACCGACGAAGCTCCTCGTCAAACGCGAGAAAAAACCTCTGGTACCCAGGGTATCACGAGTAGGGACAAAGAAAAAATCTGAATACCCGACAGGAATTGACCCTGACGTCCTTCCCTACACCAAGTCGCATGCTTAAACCAATGAGATACACATGTACGATTCGAAGGACTTGTCGGGTGAGCTGGGCTGTTACGTGCTCGTTTTGTGTGAGACAAGGGGCCCTTTTTTATGACCCTGATCCCTTTTCATTTTGCTTTTAGATTAATTATTATTTCAAACTAATATCATGGATTAGATTCTGTTGGAAGAAAGTTGTTTGTACCACAAATGTAGACAGCTCGTCAACAGCCTTCACACCCTTTTAATTTACAAATCGACCACAATTTTCCACGGTCTACACTCTTATAGACCATAGAAATGACGTCATAAAATGTTCAAAACTCAAGTGGAACCTCGAGCCGCAGGCTAGTGGTTTCACTGCAAAGTTAAAATAGTAAAATTGTTCACTTTGTTTCAAGACCCAAGACCCATACCCTGTTCAGCGGCACATACCCGTTAATGCCAAGGGCTCCCCCTCGGTACTGTACCCTATCGCAGATGTTCAGAGACTGGAGTGTGAAAAGGATGTCTATTATTTTTATAAGTTTTCTCTTCATTCCTGCACATGGAACCACACATCGTCATTAAAATCATGACGATAACAAGCGAAAATTGAAGGCGAAAGGCACGGGTATGGACAACGTTTGCTGTGCTCGTGACGGGGGATTGTGACCATGCAAATTGCAGTTGTGCGATATGTATATTATGAGTACAATGTACTAGAGGTGTGGTAATAAATTACCGGTATGATGTTACATACTCAACCCTTAGCGGATTAACTGATACACTTCTCACGCGATGGGCATTTTGGCTTTCACGTGGATAGAGGATCAGTTGACCCATATGTTCACAAGTCTGTCACATTTTTTTTATCTGTTTCAATTCTGGTTACCTTTCCATGAATAAAGTTTCTTTTTCGCCTGCTTTTTGGGTAAGAATGTACCAATTTATTGGTATAAAAAAATCATTTCAAAATGTAGTGATCCGATAAACGGCTTGGAAACTAAAATTTGATAACATTTTGTTTTGAATGAGGGTATTTGATTTGAAAATTTATTCACAATGCTGGAAGGGCCCTTGACCAAAATGTAGAGTACCGTATTTATTCAAATAAGCGCCCAACCTCGAATTAGCGCCCACCTCGAATAAGCGCCCATCCTAAAGGCAGAAAAAGATAATAAGCGCCCAGCCTCGAATAAGCGCCCACCCCCTCCTCCCCCCAATCAAACTCAAATAAGCACTCACCCCCACCCCACCCAATTAAGTGAAAAAGTTCCAATAAGAGACTTCCTTGAGGACGGAGTTTTCTTCAGAGTATTTTACAGAAACCTTGCTTTGTTACTTCTTCGCGTTTTGTTAGTAGCATTTATTATTTTGTTGCAAAATAAACATACTTCACTTGCTGAAAATGGTGAAAATTTAATAAGCGCCCAGCCTCGAATAAGCGCCCACCTCGAATAAGCGCCCACTCTCAAGGTCCAAAAATTTAATAAGCGCCCAGGGCGGTTAATCGAATAAATACGGTATTTCACATATTAAGACAATCAGATCCTTACAGTCCATTATTACTCAAATTAAATTATGCAGTAGAATCCAAAATTCTAGAACCCCCGGTATCTGGAACATCTTCATTTTACTCTTAAAAACACTGGCTTTCTTTCCCTAGTCAAACGCTTTGCGGATCTGGCCTCCTGCAGAATGTTAAAAAAAAAAATGGGTATGAATAATGCATTTTAGTAAAATCCAACTAGTGGTCTACTACAACGCTTTCGGTCAGATTGGTTAGGCTACTTCTAGGCTACATGTTATAGCCCACTAGTAGCGAGAAGCGCCGTCTTTGAAATTCAAAACAGTTGCAGCTGAATCGGGATTTGCTAGCCTGCGTAGCAGGCGCTTGGAAGTAGTGGGTCCAAGAAAAAACGGGCGCGTGAGAAGGAGACACGCGAGGGGAGAGGAAGCGCCTGCACGGAAGGCCCCCGAAAATCGTTTCCCGCCCCCTCTCTAATTACTTGGCAGCCGTTGCGTGATCTGTCAAAAGTTTTGACAGAAAACGACTGACCTCGCACAAACAAAGCAAGCCGCCAAAAAGCGTTGTACATTTTATCTTCGGTCTAAATATATCTGTTCTAAAGATCAGCTGGGTTATCTGATTATAGAGCGATGGAGCAATAAACTGATGGTTAACACACAGCTTTAAATCGTTTTTTCACATGGGCACAATAAACAGGAAATAACAAAGTCAAAACTGGTATCTTTTAAAGAATGCATGCTGTGTATTATAAAAACTAAAAATATTGTTCTGGTCAGACACCAACGATCACAGGGTACGTGGAAAATGACCATACTGCTTTTACTGCGCTAACTGGCAGCCGTTTTTGGTGCAGACATGTCTTACTAAGCGGACCTAAACCTCAGAACACAAACTGTACCGACATGTTTTCTACTGCAGTAATGAGACATAAACAACAGACCTCAGGTCGACTCCGAACGGCGAATAATACTATAGTGAAATATTTTTTTCAAATTCATGCCCCTGGTAAGTATTTCATTTCATCAATCATGTCCAAGTTTTGATGGTATACGTTCCATCGACAGCACAAGCCGCCAAGTTCTCCTGAGCAAAGAATATTTCCTCTGATCTTCATTGCAACGATTCGACAAATCTTTTGTCTCTCGCCACTTCTATTGATGCGTATCCGATGTCAATTCTTTCCATCGTGAATACCGTTTGAACACTCCAACTTTTCTTTGAGATTACAGCCACATAGTCCCTTTAAACCAGAATGAAGTGACCTCCGAGACCTGAACTTCCATTGTATACAACTTAGTGGTTTCAGGACCCAGTGGTGTAAAGCAAGATCTTCACTACGTTGTCCATGTACTATTGATTGACAGTTTTCTCGCCCCGCGCGGTTAATTTTTCCCTCGGGAGCCTCTCGACCAATTGGAAATATCCGCACTCACAGAGTGCGAGTTGAAACGATTTTCGGGGGCCTTCCGTGCAGGCGCTCCCTCACCCCTTGCGTGTCTCCCTCGCGCGCGCCCGTTCTCTCTTTCGCCCGCTACTTCCAAGCGCCTGCTACGCAGGCTAGGGATTTGCTAGCTATAGAGTTGCCTTCAGCCTCATGGGCTATTGACACAGAACCCATTCGTGCTCGAGGAAGGACTCGTGATATATACCCAGGGTCCGCATGGTGTACACGTGCATCCGTGTTTACACCAAAATACGACAGATCTTACAGATAATTTTACAGTAGAATTCACGTGTCATGTCAAGCCAAGTCAACTTTATTTATCCACAGTTCTTCTTTCAGGAGTCACAATATCTGAATATTAACATTAACACTTACGTCTACCTAATACAATGTCGTTCTATACGTATCCTAAAATGCTGTACAAATGCCTGATCTTTGAAAAAAATGCCTTTCTACCCATATACATATAATTAAATGAAGAAATAATCGCGATAGTGATTAAACTGAAGAACGCGAATACTTTTCAGGGGCACCCAACGTCAATTTTTGGAAAATATCTGTTTGGAAGACGATTTGAGATCTAGAATTTTCGGAACATTTGTTGTAAAATTTCTTGGTTGCCTGCGTCTCCTAGAAAATTTCGAACATCTAAAAAATGGTATAGTTGCCCATTTTTAACGGATTTTTACCCTAAAAAGGTCACCTAGACTTTTCGGGAGCCTTTTTTCTCGCTGAAATTTTCGAAAAGGTAAGTTTTGATCCCTATATATAATTTCGGATCACTAGACTTTCAGCTAGGAAATCCGAACAGATGAAAAATTTTTAGGGGATAAAAATATGCCTACATCTACCGTTTAAATACGAAAATACGTTTAAGAGTGCTTTGTTTAAGTGGTTTTGAACTATATTCTCGTCGGGTATCCCTGATGTTTTCGCCAAGGTCGCTACCGTAAAGTGCCTCAATTTATGGATCACTAGACGATGTCAAAATGTGTTCAGGGCGGTGGTTTTTTCCATATTTTAGAGTCGGGGGATACTTATATTGACACACCTACTTTATTTAATAAACTTAGCAAGATGACATGAAATGTTAAATAAGTTTCAATTGTAATTTTGTAACGTTGTATTGCACTAACTTCGGTCTTTCTTCTTGTGTCATTTATTTAGATCTATCCTCTTCTTCCTTTCCTTTTCTTTTTTTAATCTCTTCCTAGTTATATATTACTCTATGTTTTCCTCTGTCCGCCTCGATTAACCAAGCTATTTGCGAACAGAGGATGTTTGTTTGTACCGTGTATGTTTTAATTTAATTTAACCTAATTTGTAACTTCTATGGAGATCAATAAACTTCAATAACTGAAACTATATGAAGGCAGCAAACCGCAGTTGAGACATTATGTGTCATCTTGAAGCAAATATCCGTCTTTGCTGCAAAATAAAATCATTTTGTTTTATACAATCAGGGAAATGGGATATCTAGCCTTCAGAATGCCGAACAAAAACGGATTCTAATTAAAGAAACAACAGATGATATATGGTAGGAAAATTTGCATATAAAAAAGAAAGCATGCGAACTAAAAACGGCAAAGTTTCTCACAACTGATATTTATTTAGTTACTTATTCTACGTTTAAATTTCTGTTGTTTTAAAACGGATTCTGTGCCTTCTTTGGACATTGTGAGGGAGCAATCACGAAGTAGTCGTTTGATACCTGATGGGGCGCGCGTGGTAGTGACTGTACGTGTCATGCCAATGGCTTCAGTGCTCTTTGCCGTCATGACCGTCACGATGAATTTGATTGAACCGCCCAAATTAAAGCGAATGTCACTTATTGTTTATAAGTCTGGTAATAGCTCGAGGTACCGGGCTCGAGGTACACCAGTCTCTTATTGCATCGTGAGCTAGCTACTAGTAGTCATGTTGCTTTTTCTTCTCTTTTTTGTGTGCTTCACAAGCGACGCTTATGAAAGGCAGCTGCTTGGAAGAGGAATATATGTACCCCAAGAGAACATACTGGGAGACATGGACAACGTTGGAGCACGGGTATGTTGTCTGCTAGTATTTGCAATGTAAATGAATGTCTGTGGAATGACCAGCTGTATATATATACCTGGATTTTTGAAAACCGGGTTAGCAAAAATATCAAGTCATTCTACTACTTGGTAATTTAAAACAACAAAACTCATTCAAAGGCCGATTAAAAGCCTTTATATGACGCCGGGCAGTGCGTTAATGGTCCCTAGAAGCATTCCAACGAGTCCAAATTTAGAATGACGCAAATTTTAGAACATTTTATATTCAGTAAACTAGCTGACTTCGCGAAGTTTTAAACCGGTGTCATTTCAGTCTAGAAATTTTTAAGTTGAGTGAGCTGCAGCGAAAGAGTGCCTGGTTAAGGCTTACATAACAACTTAAATAGTTAGCAAAACACTACTTTTTGGGCGGTCCGATAAACAACAGGATTCCGCATGGAATAGACTACAAACTGAATGAAACATAGTGTACAAATTATCACCTTCTTGTCTGCAAAAACCGGCCTATGGTGCAATGCCATTAGAGCCTGCTGAAACTAGACCTAGATCTCATTTTCCTGAGTCGAGAGTTGCTTTTCCAAGGTACAATCAGCTAAGCTAAACACCGACGAAACAATATTAATGGCTGGCACAGAATATTTTGGCGAAACCGCAGTTCAACCACGCAATCACATACCTGTCAACAGCATGCGGAAATCACACAATCACACACTTTCGCGGCACTGATAAGACTATCCACAACCACGCATAATCTTCTCACGTTTAACATAAGCGAAATATCATCGAATAACTCGGAAAAACTCAGCCTATTGCCAGATAAACACCTCTGGACCTTTCTCTTACACTGTTCCCGAGGCCAAAGACTTAGTGGTCACCTTAGAAAAGCGAACAATATCGTACCTTTCTGTCTCAGCCCGGATCAGGGAGATTAATCCGTTTAGCCAAATGAAACGAGAATATAATACGATATTGGACGATGCAGACTCTGCGAATCGTAATAACTTTGTCCCATCTCAGAGCTTTACATGATGCTCTCCGGGAAACTTTTCTCAAGGTGACCAATATATAAAACTTAACTGCTAAACAGCACCGAAACCAGCCTTAAGCGCCCGCTGATTTCAAACTGATAACTGTCACTTGTGTTAAAGAAAGAATTGTGGGTAGGGAAAAAAATGGAGGGGGGGTTAGATAGTAATTCTGTCTACAGCCACTTCTACACAAATCTCTAACCATAAGACAAGCCAAAAAAACAAACGACATAAGCAAACAACACAGTAAACAAGCTATTAGACAGCAGAAGTTGAGAAAAATTACAAAATGTTTGCTAACCCGGTTTTCATAACTCCAGGTAGATATACAACAACAATAAGCTTGGTATGATCGTTTTTAAAAGATCTTAAAAATTCTTGTTTTTGAGAGCTGGTGAAGGATGTTTTGCCAGATGAATATGATATCTATTCTTGTTTCATTAATCCTTGAAACCCTAAGATCAAAATTTGAATTCTCATTTGTTGTCCCTACTCATTTCCTACAGAAGTAGTGGGGAGAAGTTGATAAATTATCAAGCAAATTCATCTTGTGTGATCATGTCCGTAATTCTCACGACCACTCTGTTTTACAAAGCATTGATATTACAAAGAGAAATTTGATGCTACAAAGTTTTTTACTATAGCGGTATCTAGCAAATCACTCAGGTAGGTTGAAATATTCTGACACCTCCGTAAAGTGAGAGTGAAAGCTACTCTTAATGCAATGATTGAAGTGTAAACCAAATGACATTAAAAACGATTGCTTGACGAAAGATTCTTCATCTTTAGACTGAAGATACAAAATGTAGTTGTTTTTGTTGATAGTGATATTTAAAGGAAAGCGACCAAGTTGGTAGCTCTACAAGCAATATTAGAAGCCTTGTTGTTTACCTCTAAGCAACGTTTGCATGGTGTTTCTTTTCAATTTGTGAGCCGTCCCAGTCTGGTTTGGCATGCACACCCCAATTATACAGCTATTTCAAAAAACGTTGTCGGAAGAAAAGCAAAAAGTCTTCAAGCCAAGACCTCAAGGTAATGTGGGTTGTTCCAAATCCGTCTTTTGCTGGCAAACAATCACTCCACTAAACTCGCTGATTTTTATTCGTCATTTATACTGAACCATACTTATCATTTTAGTTGTTAAAAAAGCACAAGGGAAAATTACATCCTCTCCTTTCTTAGTGTCATCCATCGATTTGAGACATTTCCAGAAAGTTTTCGCATCTGAATTGTCTGCATTGCATTTTTTTTCTAGCTCCAAAATCTTGGCATTGTAATAATCATTCTTTTTAGTATTAAGCAATTTCTTGTATTGCGTCAGGTTATCATCATATTGCTCACGTATGGTAGGATTCAGAGGGTCTCTTTCTTAGTCTTGTTTGCTAGTTTTCTTAATTCATATATTTTCAAACGGCATTCTTTATCGATCCATTTTTTGTTTGAGAATGACTTTAATGCGTCTATGAGTTTTACTTTTTTAAATCTTTAAACAGCATTTAGCCATTGTGATTGAAATGTTTTCCACCTTCTCGAGGGATATCTACGCATATTCACTGTGTGTCGTCAGCAATATAATCCCGTATAAGCGTTTGTACACGGGGAGACGTTGAAGCATCTTTGAATTTTTGCGCAGAGTCGTTTACCCAAAAAAATTGTTTCGGTAAATGTGTTAAACAATCTCCTTCAACTCTCTTTTAACGGACACATCTATAAGAAACAGGACTTGTAATTCGGATGTTCCCAGTTCTCGTCTCAGTTGTCAGTAGTCTGGCTAGTCCCTAGTTCAAATCTTCGGCCACGCTTGTAAATAGCCAACTGGTTCGCCTCCAATAGTTGGGATTTTTAAGCATGTGTTATGTTCTATTTATTATTATTATTATTATTATTACAGACCCCGCGCTAAGACAGACACCCTGTGGTTGCGCGCATGTGAATTTTGACGTTGGACTATCCTGTTCTAGGTGTTCAGATAGTAGAGCGCGGGAGAAAAATTCACGAAGAAAAAAAAAACGACGAGAGACTAGTTTTCCCGGTGTATAATTTAAATCGCTCCCCACTGACCGCCGCGCTCTATTTGAACCCCTGAAACAGGCTAACGTTTGACTAGTGCCTAATTTAGTAGTAATCCTCTTTAAGCCGTTGGAGTCACAAGTCATTGCAAGACGATTTATTTTTCACTTTTTATTCAAAATTTGTGCTTTGTGATTTATCGACTACTTTTCAGAGTTTTCTCATGCAGGTTTTTCTTTCTATTTTTCTTCATTAATAAAACCGGCGCCGGCCTAGGGACTTTACGAAACTACAACGATGTCGGCAATAAGAACGTCCAAAAAGCAATTTTCTTCTCGCGCATCATGTTTTTTTTTTTTTTCATTTCCGTGCGGTCCCTGCCGAACAGCTACAACGTGACGTGAAATAATTTTATCGGAGAGGCGATAAATTTTACTGTCTATTCCTGTACTCAAACGCGGTCCTCACTCTTCTGCTCCAGCTAAATCTCCCAATTTTTTAAAGACTGAATGAGTTGGAGGCCGAACAAAAATTTTAAAGGAAACGAAGTCAGTTTTGCAGTGACTTGTTCACTTGCGCGCGCGTCGCCGTTGTCAGGTCGTCACATTTCACTTCCAAAGTTAGGCTATTTTTCGTAGGAAAAAGGAAACCTAAAATTTTCGGATTTAAAAATGTGATGGCGAGAGGAATCAGAAAATGTGTCACTTTCGTAATACGTCAAATTGCATCTAAGATTTTCAGGAAAATAATACTCAAACCCTTGAAATTTCGAAACGATTTAAGTTCCCCTAGGATGACCGAGCAGATACAAATTTAATAGCCCCGCTTAGAATGCATTTCTAGAGATCTGAAAGTACCCTGGATAGGCTAAAAAGTGTTTTCTATGTATGTAGGAGGAAACCGTCGTTGGGTGCCCTTGATGAAATATAACCGAGCTACGGAAAGGCGGTAAGATTTCAAGACGTTCGGTGTGAGGACTATAAATGAACAAAGAAACTCTACCAATGTAAATTTGAACTGACGAACTAACGTACCGCAAATCACGAGTAAGAATGTCAGGGTTTGCAAGTTTCATTGATGGGTGAAGTCAGTGTGACTTCTGCTCGACAGACTTTGGAATATTTGGAGTCAAGTAACACAATGAAAAACAGAAATGTAATATTCCTTAAACAAGAGTTAAAAAAAAAACAGTAATAATAAGAGTAATAAAAACTTTGACAGCTCACGAGTGTGCCATTTCAGCGCGTGGTTCTGGCATGTATACACTATCGTGAAGGAAACATGAGGTAGTTAAGGCTGTCATGAGAGAGTCCTCTGACCTGATCAGGATAATTATCGTAAAAACATTATAACATGAAATGGCGTATAAGTAACTTGTAAAATACTTTGTCGCGTGTTTGGGTCCATTGACTGATGCACGTCAATCATCTATCATACAATAAGGCTACGTACTTTTCCGGAATCCGGATTGGTCGGGAATGTAGACAATTTTGTTACTGGGTTCCTTGTGTCGTTTTTAATAGATGTGAGTATCCGAAATAAAAAAGCGCCAGTTTCGTCAAGTCTCTAGAGATTTTGGACCAGAAACTTAAAGTGAATCCGATGCTTCTCAAATTCGGAATGTTTGTAGTAAAAACAATTTTTCCAACGAATCCGGATACTTTTTCGCATTTGATCATACGAGTTTGCAGTAGTACCAAAGTGGAATTGTCACTCTCATGAAAATAGGGTGCTTTAGCAACAACGACGGCCAGGGCAGCAAAAACGTCCTTAGTTATCAAACGAATGCGCGTTTTTTTTTTTAACTTTTTCATGTGTAATCCAGCTCCCTTAAAATGCTAAATTAAGGTGAATTTCCCTGCGAAGTCTTGGAAACCGCACCCAAGTTGTGTTTACGTCCTTCAAACAAAGACGCCAAAAGTAAATTTCACGTCGTGGTCGTACAGGTCGTAAAACACAGCTTGCTAAACGTACAAAATTTGTTGTTTTGCATTTTCTTATTAAACCTGTTTCCTTTTGACGTTCTCGTTGCCGTAGGGTCGCCGTCTCATTCGTCTTTACTTCCAGGATCTATCAATGTGCGCAAACCATTAGCAATCCCAATACGTTTTTAAGTAATGATCCGGGTAAGGTGGATAGCAATTTCTTTTGTTATGCGGCAAGGGTGCTTTCCCCACATAGGAATGTTCTCATTTTTACACAGAGAAAGCATAAACCTACATGAAGGCCGTTTACGCAATAAAATGCATTTACACTCTACTTTGAAAGGGTGTTTTTTTGTGTTAAAAGATTTTGACCAATCACAAGAGTGGAAAACAATAGCCGAGAAAAGTTTACAATTTTACATGTTTCCCACATAGGATTTCTTTGTTATTCAAACTCAGACCAGATTTTGTTATATGGAAGATGGTTGGAAAGTAAGGATGAATATATGTACTGCTTTATGAAGTTTTGTTAACTTTTGCTGTTTAAGCCAATCAGAAGTAAGTACCGACAATAGAAAAGTTAGCACCTTTTTTGCATTCCAACATGTTCGTTGCCGTTCAGTGCTTTCGTTCTTATCTGGACCGTTTCTCAATAAAAACGCCTGCCAACTTTTCAGTAGATAGACGTGATTCAAGATTCGGTGAATTACGTCGTTTCTCTGGAAACCGAATATTTGGGTGCAGAGAAAAAAAGAGTCCGTTGTTTTAGACCAAATATATATTTTAAAGAAACAAACACGAGAGTTGAATGAATGGAGGCAATCTGTGCAGCTCTTAAAATAATCCATTTTGGATCGTTATACTGCCCAGATACATGTACCCCTCCCCTAAGCCAATGTTGCTAATGTTGGCCTAGGGGAGGGGTGCGCAATTTCCAGAAACCATAAGACGTATAATGACCAATAATCATCTTTATGTATTTTGCTTTCTCTTTGGTATTAACTTTTGATTTTTTTTCTTATCTTATATCTGTTCTTTTGACCCAAACAAGCGAATTCTCAACCAGCTTTTGACTGTTGCTTAATAGAAGGAAAGCTTTCTACAGACTGATTGTCGTTCTCGTTCGACATCCTTCGACCTCGCAATCGTAAGAAATTTTTATCCTATGAAATTGGATCCTTGATGTAAATCAAAGAAGCTTTCTAAAGATTTGTTGCCAACTAGATGGGAATTTGCACATGATCACTTTTGATTATAGAACTGTGCTCGATATGTAGTCAAGTATGTCATTCTGATTGCAGATTTAGTGGTCGCTTACGAGAATCGCACAACAAACTAAATATTACTGATCATTTTAACACCTTCTAAGCTGCGAAAGTTGATTTAAATCTTGTGAACATAGAAGCTGAAGGCTTAATCATAACTTTCAAAGCTTGAAAGTAGGAAAGGCGAGTTAACTTTGATGATAATAATGGTTATGATGATACTGTTGACTATGATAATAGAGTCTTTTAGATTCTAAGACGAGTACGACTACGAGTACGAGATTTTCTCAGTACTAAGTAGTGCACTCGTGTGAGCAAGCGTCATTTTGGCGGGAAAATGTGGTAGCTACTACGAGTTTTCGCGCGAATGTTGTGATAGCGAAAACAAGATATCAAATGTTAAAAGTTTTTATCACTTTGCTATCGGGAGAGCGCGTAACCTCCTTCACTAAAGTTAACAATGCTAATTTTTCTATTAAAAAAATGGGAAAATGAAGCTTTCCGGGAAGTCTATAGATATTTTGAGAAGACGAGAAAAAACTTCAAGTCAAATCTCGTATATTTTACTCGTAGTCGTTCTCGTCCTAGAGGCTAAAGGTCTCTAATGAGAATGGAAACAATCTGTGACGTTATTATAAAAGAAGGATAAAAGTAAAGGTGGTAATGATAATGTAGATAGAGCTGGTTACCATGGTTACTGCACAAAGTAAAGGGCATTACAGTTTAGTGCATTAATAACAAAAACATCCTTCATTGAACTAGAAAATAAGGACCTTCACTTGTGTAGTGGTTTATTAATAATGTTACAAATACTTAATCTTTCAATGGCGCCTAAAAATAACACCTTTGATAACACCATCAATACTGAACCAGATCTAACCAGTTTGGTGAATTTCGTAAATCGTAAAAAGGCTGGCAACTCCGCTGATTTCAATATACCCACAATTTCAGAACGCGAAGTTTTAGAAATCGTCAAATCAGCCCCATCAAATGCTGCAACTGGACTTGATGGAATGAGCTCCCCTTTGTTAAAATTAATTGCTCCTGCAGCCGCTCCAAGTCTAGCAAAAGTAACAAGAATCGCCGAAAGGCGATTTTTAACTGGGCTGCCAAGGGGCTATTTTTTCTGAAGGGAGGGGGCGGCTATACACACTCAGGCTACCACAAAACCTTGTCGGCAACCATTGCATGCGACAGAACCTCATGTGAGACTGAAACATAAACTCATTCAGAACATTGTACCCTTTTGAAAGACTTTCGTAACTAAAAAAAAAGAGTACCATTTTTAAGTGGGGGCTGTATAATAAGTTTTTAAATTCCACCATTATGAGTAAAAATAAACAAGTTTGCCATTAATTGTAAGCAGGAAACAATTTGCATTATTTCCACGTACCCCTCCCCCAATCCCTCTGTGCCCCAAAATATATAGCGTGACAGTATAACGTGACTAATTTGACGTAACCGGAAATTCCAAAAATTGTTGTCGTTCTACGAGCATAAAATGCGACAGACTGAGCTGATTTACACTAGACAGAAATATTGTATTGTATGAAAACCAGAAGTATACTAAGACAGACTGATAACTGCCCATTGATTCCGCCTGATCCAGGGGCCTCACTGACTGCACGGAGACTTTACTGCGCTTTTCACAATCATGCGAACTCTAAAGTTCAAAAGCCACCTTCACAATTGTGTTTATCGCTGCCGTCAATCATAATTACGATCACAAGCAACGAACCTTGAAACTGAGAAACACACAAAACGGATCGAAATCCACAAATCACAAAACATGAGCTTTTGAACCCGTGAAGTAAAGTCTTGTTTCCTAAGAGGTCTGTTAAGATGATTGACAGCAGCGAAAAACGCAATCGTCGGTTGGCTTCTGAACTTCAGAATTCGCATGTTTGTGAAAAGTGCGATCCTAATTTGCGGTCCACAGTCTACAAGAAAACGCACTATTTTTTCCACAAGATGAAAAATATTCAGTTTTAAGATTTTCCTCATGGTATTTTTCTCTAACTTAAAGGAATAAAATCCTTTGCATTTTGAGACCATGTTGCGTTCACCAGCACGCACTTCAAACAATGTAAATAGATGAAACGATCGATAACATATTTTTTACCTGATACCGATTCGAGTTAAAAATTCGCTCCAGTTCTGTTTGTCTCACCCAAGACGAACTTTTGTGCATGGAACATAACTATGCCGCTTTATAACTCGTTCGAAGTTTTTGTGCCAGCTAAACAATATGGAAACACTATTCACAGTGACTCCTTGGATATTAAAAAGACTGAACGTGACGCACTATTATGCCTTTGTTTACTTCTGATCACATCTTCAAGCGAAGTCTCTCTTTTCAAGCGATTCATCTCAATGCACAATAATTGACCCTTATATTAGTTAAAACCCTATGGTTCATTTATATTAATGCTGTTTTTGCCCCTCACATTGACTGTGTTCGTTCGTATTCAAAACACCTTTACGAAAATAAAGGTCGTATAAGTCATGTGTGTTATGCACTTATCAATTGAAACCCCGACCCCCCCCACCCCGGGCCTATGTGGGGCAATGTGGGGGATTGTTATGGTATTTGAAGGCATGGTTAGCCCGTGGGGGTGGGGGATTTCTCAGGATTTGCTTAGCATATTCATGGCAGTCCATGGAAGTCGGGGAGCGAGGTGGGGATTTGACTCGTGCCTAGTTTCCTCACGGTAATTTCTTCACGTGATCACTGGTATTTTGATGTATTGCTCGGCCGCCCGGGGGTACTGCCATATATGGGCTATATAGGTATGTGCTGCTGTGAAGGGTATGGTTTTCAGGCAGTTTACTCTAGGATAGGGTATGTAATTCAGAGCGTTTGGGTCTAGAATAGGGTATCATTTTTCAGGAAACTGATCAGTTGGTTGAAGATTTTATCTAGACAAGGGAAACAGCTACTCTAGGATAGGGGGATTTGGGGAGTTTACTCTAGTATAGGGTAGCAAAATTCAGCTGAACTAGCTCTGGTATACGTTAAGGGTTCCAGAGTCCCAGCGGCTCATCCCCACCCAGAAATTCCTAAAGTACCACCCCCGGGCTCGGCCGTAAGTTTCCTAATTGTTTTTCCTTTCATTTCTTCACTGAGACTAATCCTTTGCGATTTTGCCTTGAGCTTTCATGGTTCGTTGACTGGAAATTGTTATTGTTATTCAAAACTTCTCAAACAATGCAGATACAAACTCCTCTACTTATTATAAAAGATGCTGTGTCACGGCTATCTGGTTCATTTTGTTAATATTATTACGTGGTCCCTATTCGCTTTTGAGCGTTACGTTGGCAAAGAAATGAAGAAATGAAAGCTTCGTTTTAAACAGATGTTTCTCCCAAGCATATCAAGAGTTACGGACGAAAACAATGAACTTTGAAAAACTGTTAGGTTAACAAGTTTTCAAAAACCAAAATTTCAATCGGTTTTAATCTTCTTTATGTTTTCCCATCTGTACCTTCTTTTGTATTTGCTGAGTCATTTATACCATCTTTTGGCATCTTTTAATGTCTTAAGCGGTTATTTTTATGTTTCACTCAATTTGGTGGCAGTTCCCACAGCCTACATTTTGGTAAATTTCATGACACAGCTCGTTTAACGTCTAGTGTTAAACCCATGTGGTTTCTGAAGTTCTATATTTCCTCATTCTTTAAGTGAGTCGGGCTATAAAATATAGCTCCTAGGAACTATTTTATGCAGTCTATTTATAACATCAGCTTGTGAAGGTTAAGGTATGTTGGCTGCTATTTTCAATTAAACTTATCATTGCGGATATTACTTTCAATGGAGATGGTACGGATTTCCTTTTACTTTATAGCAATGTGCTACTCCATCATCCATTTTGTACCCTGACTTTTTTATAAGTGGGTAGGGGTCATTATGTTTACTTATTGTCAAATATTTGTTGTATTTATATCTTGGTCTGTTATCATATTTGCCTTTTTGCTCTAGTAAATTTGTCAATATTAAGAAGTTGAAAATTCGAACGAAATATTAATAAAGTCAGTCAGGGAATTAAAAGGGTTTCCCCACCTGGGTGGGGGTTTTACCTGTCAATATGCCCCAGTAGGGTGGGAGTTTGCCAAGATTTGTAATGATGTCAAGTCAAATCCCCACCTTGGCCCGGGGTGGGGGGGGGGTCGGGGTTTCAATTGACAAGTGCATTATGTTTCGAGATAAATGGATTATACGCTTTTTTAAGTTTCCATTTTGCGGTGACTTCAGTTTACATCTCCATAAAATGGTAAAAGAAATATCAAGAAACATCACGAGAGCTGAAAACTTTCAAAGGCATGTTTCTGAAACTCGCTAATGCTGACATCAATATAGCGTGCTTGGGCGAAAACACAGAATTGTGATCACAAGATCATGTACAAATTTAATGATAAAAGCTTAGCAAGATACAAATACAAACAAAAGCAAACCCCCTGAAACCTCGACGTGGGCTACACTTGTATGCTCTACTCAGTCACCAAATTGGGCGCTTTCCATTTAGGAAAAAAACCCGGAAATTTCGGTGGGAGCAAAAGTGGAATTTTCGATTGGTAAAAAGTTGTTCCATTTGGTCGTAAACCCCGGTACGTCGCGGTGCCCGACGGTGGACCTTGAATTGACTACGAAGGGTTACAATCAAGTCTTCAGCCATAGTGTCGTCAACTGGTGAAATACCTTGCTCATAAATTGTGCTTCTTAATTGCTCATGTACTACATCGATCGATAATTCTCTCTTTGAGTTCACGAAGCGGCCACGGCGTTGTTCCAAACCTGACGCTCACAGTCATCTTTTAGTGTGAACCTACCGTGAACGGCGTGTCGGTTTGAATGCAACGCGAGCATTTCTCTGAGTTTCCCAGCGCCAACATCATCTAACTGACTTAAACTCGAACAATAAAAAAATTATAGAGTGACTCCCATGATCGAATCGCTTCGAACAACGCAAATAGCCTTCTTCAGGTTCGCAACGCTTTGTGGGTTTTTCAGGGGGAGCGCAGACGAGGTACAAAAAGTATCCGTGCAAGGGTTCGTGCAAGAGAAACTCATATGAAACCATTTGTAAGAACATCGTTTCTCGGTACCAGACCCTCGTGTCTTCCCTCCCCCGGGAGGCCGTTTTTCGCCGCAGACGACCGAAAGCCCATTTTATGACTGGGCGCACAGGCAGCCCAGTAATAAACTGCAGCATAATTAACAGCATCTGTCCAGCTCAACTCAAACTGGCTCGTGTCACTCCGATCCGATTTACAAACAGGGGAGTAAAACCGATCTTGACAATTATAGACCTATATCAGTCCTCCCTGTCATTTCGAAGATTCTCGAGAAACGTGTCTGCAAACACTTCTCATTGCTTTTCTCACCTATCACGATTTACTGTACAAATGCCAATCGGGTTTTAGAGCTAACTACTCCTGCGAAACCATCCTTATCAAAATTACATATGCATGCCGGCTAGAAGCAATGGATAACGGCCTATTTACAGGTGTTGTTATGATCTGCGCAAAGCTTTCGACGTTGTAGATCATAAACTGCTGCTCAAGAAACTTCCACTAACTCCCTCAAATGGTTCCAAAGTTACCTCAGCGGAAGGTAAACTATCTGAACCGCTCGGTATTCACTCCGGTGTATCGCAGGGGAGTATTCTTGGTCCCGCCCTTTTTTTGCTCTTCATAAATGATCTGCCACTAGTACTGAAGAATAATATTGGCATTTATGCCGATGACTCAACCCAGTTTATGCATCCGCACCTACCTTTGCTGAAGTCGAGGAGAAAATTAGACCTGACTCTGACCCAGTATCGATGTGGGCAAAGGAAAATAAAATGAAAATGCACCCAGCAAAGACAAAGTACAGTATAATCTCGACCAGACAAAAAATTGTAAATTCAGCAAAACAAACGCTCCCTTGACCTTTCAGTTGAGGGCATGCAACTCACTAAGGTTAAGTCAGAACGTGTCTTAGGAGTATATATTGATAGTCATCTCACCTGGAACGAACACAGTGAAACACTGCGCCAAAAACTACATCAAAGAATTGCACTTTTAGCAAGAGCTCGGAAATATATACCAACCAAATATCGATTGCTTCTCTACTATGCCTAAGTATCAAACCGCTCTTTACTTATTGCTGTACTGTTTGGAGCGACTGTAGCTAAACCGACTTAGACGAACTGTTTAAACTTCAAAACCCTGCGCTCGATAAATTTTGGATAGTCCTCGGGGTGAACGATCTTTTGTTAATTTTCAAAAGCTTAAGTGGCTACCAATTGATCAAATATTCAAGCTCAATAAACTCGGCCTTTTAAACAAAGTCGTTGATTCGAAAAGCACCGGAATACTTAATCACAATGTTGGGCTCACTTTGGTTTGAACACAAGATTTCTAAGGTACCAGAACAAAAACATTATACGGCTTACCGAAACCCAGAACCGAACCAATGGGGAGAACATTCTTCTATTCCGCTATTATAAAAGAACTAAATGCTGAACTTAGAACCAACCACCTCCTTTAGCTTGATGAAGACAACACTGACTAATAACGCCCCCTCAAACTATACAGTGGACAATTTTAAAGTTAAAAAAAGTTATTCTGATTTTAATATCATTGTAGATTGGATTCCCTTTTTTACCAATGTATTCACTTCCGTTTTTAACATCTCTCAATTTTTTAAATCTCTAGAATTTTTAAGATCTTTTGTTATAATCACTATTTGTAATAGGCTTTTTATCATGATTGTTGTAATTTATTATTACCGATTTTGTTTTTAGAGGGCCATTAGGGAGAATACGTCCTGCACAAAACTTGAACTGATACCGATTTCCACGTCACAGTCGTACAGTGACGGCGAAGAAATGTACAAAAAAGCTTCATGCCCGTGCAGAGTTGTTGTTTTGCAAATCCAAATCTATTGCTTTTTTGGCGTTCTCGTTGACCTCGCATTCCTCGTTGCCTAAGCTCCCTGTGGCGGTGCCATAAATCGTTTCCCAGAGCTCTGGGAACGAGATTCAAAATGTTAGTCAGGGAGTTACGGAAGTGACTCAATTTAAGTCTTGCCTCTTGCATAAAGCTACAAAGATTTGAGGTCACGCCTTGGGATCCCTCGTACAGGAGGCCGTGTAATAACCAACTGTGCTAGTCCCCTTATTTCATGATTTTTACTAGGCTTATAGGCGAGCAAACGATGATCCCCAAACTAGGCAAAAATGAGGTCTTATGAGTACAATTACATGCAAAATATTGGTTTAAAGTATGATCGATCAATCAATGTCTATCATCTATATAACGAATTCGCGGTGCCTGAAATGGGCCTAAATCAAGCAGAAAGATCACGCATTTTCAATCGTGTTTATATGGGCGATCACTTCATATGCCTTTTTCAAGTAAAGTTGCTTACTCAGGGGCACCCAACGTCAATTTTTGGAAAATATCTGTTCGGAAGACGATTTGAGATCTAGAATTTTCGGAAAATTTGTTGTAAAATTTCTTGCTTGCCTGCCTCTCCTTGGGATTTTCGAACATCTAAAAAATGGTATAATTTCCCATTTTTAACGGATTTTTACCCTAAAAAGGTCACCTAGAATTTTCAGGAGCCTTTTTTCTCGCTGAAATTTTCGAAAAGGTAACTTTTGACCCCCATAATTTTCGGATCACTAGACTTCCAGCTAGGAAATCCGAACAGATGAAAAATTTTTTAGGAGATAAAAATATGCCTATATCTAACGTTTAAATACTAAAATACGTTCCACAATGCTATGTTCAAGTAGTTTTGAAGTATATTCTCGCTGACTTTCTAAGCACTGTTCAGTACGAAGTTGTTTGTGTCGAGGGTTGCCCGGGGGAGATGGTAAAAGGTAAAATTGAAGCTTTCATTATACATTCGCAAAGTGTTCAATTTGTAATCCATTCAAAGACAACATTAAAAATACCTATGCTTCTCTTTGCTTTAGGTGTTTAAGAAAGACAAACTTGCAGCGTGTTCTTTGGTTAAAAAGAAACCTATTGCATCACAATCATTCACCTTTTTCAAGAACACACAGTCGTTCTACTCAAGTTTAGTGACTACATTTAAGTTTGGCTTTACACTATCAGCGGGATTCACATTAGGCTTTACGCTCGACTATGTTTCCAAAAGAATATCAGAGGTCAATCGCACAGTTGCTGGGAATATGCTGGAAATAAAGGCATCAACCTACCAATCCACACTGTACGACGACTGCATAATGAATGTAAAGAATTTCGAGCCGTCATTCCTGTCTGATTTTGCCCAGTTACCAACTCAAATCGACCGGCCATGGTGGCCGACATCGTGGATGAGATACGAAGCTTTCCTCAAAAAATACGGTTCCCATATGGTGTCGTCAGTCATATATGGCGCCAGCATAAAACAGATGGCATTCGCTGAGAGCAAAAGTGAGTACACCGAAAGAGATTTCCAAGTAAACTGCTGCCTCCAGTTGGGTGGGTCAGCTGAAGCTGTCAGCGTCGATATTAACATTTGCGTTGGTATCACTAAGGATGAAATTGAACGGGTCAGACATATGGCAATGAGTGACAGTCTCATCATAAGGGGAGGCAGTGACGAAACTCGCAACGCACTAATTGGAAAACGCACTGCTGAACTGATCAAAAAATTCATGACCGAAGCCAAGACGATCAATTCAACTATGGAATTCAAATTCACGTCTATATGGGACATTTTGAAAGGAATCTCCAAGGTCACCAGTGACAATTATCTCAGAGCAGTCAACCTAGAGAATTTCTATCTCGGTTACAGAAACTACGGATGCCCGCTTCAGAAGTCTGGAGATCAGATACTTCAAGTGTTCAATCACAGTCGATTTTCAACCCCGGACATGCCCATATATGAATGCTCCCTCGCCCCTGACGGTTGCCATAGTGACCATGACTGTCATTACGCAATTGGGATCTTTTGCGCCTGTCGAGGCCGAACCTGTGTAGAGTACAAAGAGATTATGCTGGAAAACGGAGCGTTTAAGACTATAGCTGTTCCACACCTGACGGATACAGCTTTTGAATTAGAGTGGAAAGGCTGTGACTGGAACCCCCGTTTTCCGGGATCCAGTTGTCAGTGCCGTAAAGAAAACCACCAACGAAAAGTGGTCTGGTCCTCCTTCCAGTCATCGGGCTGCAGATTGAGGGATTGGGAAGGTTTTCCAAGAAGAAGTCCACTGAGAGAAAATTAGTCAGATATCAACGCCTCCGTGCAGCGGCTTTAACCCTTTTCACGTCCGTTAGTGCCGCCATGTTGTGCTAGAGGCCATTAAACGCAATAGTAAATCAATTATTAATCTGAAATTTTTACACTCCAAAAAGCTGTTGAAAGATCTGCACATTAAAGGCATAAAAACGCAGCCTCTCCTATAGAAGACCTAAGGCCTGTTTACATGGAAGTGGGGGACCCCAGCTAGATGGGGTAACCCTCTTAGATGGGGCAACCCCCCTGCCCATGTAATCTATCATTTTAAAAGTTTACATGACAGGTGGGGTGACCATATGAGAGATTATATAGACAGGCGGTTATTCCACCAAAGCGGGTAAACAACAACAAAAACTTTATTTTGCATCTGAGAGGATTATAAAGGGCAGTTAACATAATATAGCAAATTCCAAAACAATGGTATCTTTACAGTTTACCAAAAAAAAAAAAAAAAAAAAACAGATTAAAATAACATGAATTGAATAAACCTTACATGGAGTATTTTTATCGCGAAAATGAAATAACTTTTTCCGCACGTGTGCACATCTATGGCATGATAATGACAAAAAGAAAGAAAAAGTAAATGGTTGCATTGCAAAATATCAGAAATACTATTTTCTTGTCTTCGATTTTGCTAAATAATTTGCAAGACTTATTTTATAGACTAAATTCGCGGAAAAATTGATTTAAAAATACATTATTATTAGTCCGTCAAAACGCTGTTGCATGGGCACAAGGAAGTTGCTCGAACCGGCGGCTTATGGGGCTCCTGCCATTATTAGACAGGACTGGACTGGACTTCGAGGGTTTGGAACTGTCCGGGGACGCGACTGAGCATGAGTGGTTCAACTGACGAATAGACCTCCTTAGCCTGTATGTTTTGTTTTCCCAATACAGGTCACGTGTTAATTCTCTAGAGAGCTGTTACTTTTCAGTAAATTTCGTCTCATTCACGTGCGTATGTACGCAAATTTATGAAAAACAACGGGCCAAGTTCCCCTGGGACCTCTATTGGTTAAACCAGTCATACAAGCTATAGAGGTCTATTGCCGGCCTCCACTGACATGAGAAGATAGTTGTATTCTTAGCCAATTCAATCTCTTTAGCTAACTTTTCACCGAGAAAAATGGTTGTCTTCAGAGTTTAATATATCAGCCACTTGTGACAAATAAATTACTGATTGCATAAATTTATTTAATACCATGTTTCAGTTCGTCCGTAAGTTCAAAATGATGGGAATGCAACGACGATCAAGTTTTAGCGCAACACTGCGTTGCAATGCTGGAACAATGTTGTAACCATTGAAAACAATGTCGCAACGATATTGCAACGCTGTGTTACTCTAAAAATCGTCGTTGGGAATCGTCTCGTGTAACATCACCTTTAAGCAACGAAGAAGGAAACGGCAGCGAAAACGTCCCCCAAAAAGTGAATTCACGCTGTTTAAAACTTCATTACTCTTATTTCAGCTCTGTTAATTGGTCAAATATTGACGATATTTCGGGAGTTGAATTCTAAAGGTTTGTCTCTATGTTCAGAAAAAGAAAAAGAAAATCGTTATCTTGTGTACACGTCCTCCATAAAACCACAGTTAATTGAGTGGAATGGTTATGAAACCCGTCAGACTCCTTTGTTATATGTTTTTGTGAACCTGAAAGTGTACAACGTTCAAAAGAATTCCTATCATTTTGATTGTACTGACCAATAAAAACGTTGCATTAATTTATTCCGTAACAATTTGCCAACAGAAAACAAAGGATTGTGCACTTTCACGGTGCTTTGAACATAAACTGCAGCACTGTTGCTTTTATCATTGATGTTTGCCGCTTTTCATAACCAGTCTCCTCTAATAACTATGATAAAACGTGAAATTAGGAAGTTTCACGTCGTCGTGCAGCGACTGCATGCAAAGAAATATACAAAAAAGCGTGATGCACGTGCAAAGTTGTTGTTTTGCCAATCTAAACCTATTGCTTTTTTCCGTTCTCGTTGACCTCGCCGTCGTCGTTGCTTAAACCTGGTTTTCACTAGCGCATAAGCATAAGTGTTAAACAATGAAAATCGAAGCGATAAAAAATGTTGGCAGTGCGCATGTTTTTGACTTAAAATTATTAAAGGAATTTTATTTGGTGTTTGGGATTTATTACAATATTCATTCGATTCGAGAAATATCTATAGGTGAAGGGAAATATTATAAAAAATAATTTGACTTATTTTACTTGGTGTTCAACTCCTGCGCATCAACACTGATCAAATGACATCCTCTCCCGAAATGAGAAAATGATTTCTGTTAATTCGTTCTCCTTGGTCTTATATGAAGGAAAATGTTGATCGAAGAGTTACGTTAGCCACTTGTGGCATTTGCTACGATATATGTTTGTAGTGGAGTCGTTGTAAGCGCTCTTGTTGATTGATTTGAGTAAACTATTTTACTACTAATAGTTTTGGTCTTTAAGTTAATTAATGATCGATAGAAAGTTTCTCCTGACATGAATTCGGTGCAAAGGAGATGTACCAATTTGGGCATCTCCGCGGTAACACTTTTTTTCGTGAAATATGTTTAATTAGAACCTTTGACAGATGGCAAAGCCTTGTTATATTAAGTATTTTATTCAGTTTAATATTTTTGACCTTAATTTGGTCTTCAGTCGATATTTACCAGGAAAATATTTTCCATAGTTTTAAGCGTGTTTCTTTGAGTTTTAACCGAATTCATGGCAGTGGTTAACTGGATAACTTAAATTAGATTTAAGTGATTCCATAGGTGTTTTTGTGGTTAAACAACTATTGTTCTAAATTCTGCTTTGTACTTTGAACAGTATTTTTAATTTATCTTCTGAGTTTTTGATCACGTCCTTAGTTAATTTATGGAAAAGTTTTAGCCAATCATCTTCGATGAAGACGCTTAATACCTTCTGTAAATCGACAACTACCTAAGATTTCAAACTGTAATTTTAATACTTTCTTATCTATTGTTATGAAAAGTTTGCGTATGACTAGTAATTATTCTCCTTATTTTGCATTGGCCAGTTAAGCTAAGCTTAATAGTGAAAACTTGGGTTGAAAAACCATTTTGACAAAGTAATTATCTCGAAGGTTTGATGCCAATGAGACTCTTTTAACCAATCAGATTAGACTTACGTCAGCATTCGGTTTGCACTAAGCAGCTGGTTTCCTGGCTGATATAAAAATGGGTGTAACACAGATTTAGCAGAGAATTGTAAAATAGGGGTTGAGCTAACTTCGTGACATTAGACTAAAGAATAAAAATGGGGTCAATCAAACCAAATAATCGTCTGTTTATTGTGAGAACCAGCTAGTTCCCCAGAAAGGTTCTTCAACACAAGCACAAG